TTAAATCACAAAGTATTGATCTCGTCCTGTTGCGTTTGCCATCAACTGTGCGCCGCCATGTTTGATCTCACCTCTGCTCCGAAGTTCTAACTTTAAAAACCTAATCCCCTCATCCTTAATCAGTAACCGTATTCCTCATCTCTCATCCTTATCCTAACCAATAACCCTATTCATGAACAATAACCCTTCAATGAAACATTTTTCACACAATCAATGAAACACCAAATTTTAATAATGGAATATATGAAGCAAACAAAACTTTTAACAAATAAGAGAAAACATACAAATTTGAATGTTCAGATTTAAAAGATTAAAAATAAACAGGAAGTCATTTAAAAGAATTATATTGAGTGAAGATTCTTTCTGACAATAAAAACAACAAGATTAAGGTCCAGACTCCCAAACAGGTCACAAGAGTACTCAGTAGTCTTTATGAGGACCTGTGTTTCAGTATGTAGTACTGGGTTGTATTTATGTAGTACATCTGGTGGATTCTTCAGCTCGTTTTGAGATTTCTTTTCGCAGTGAATCCACCGTCTCCAACAACAAGGACACTTCAGCTGCTTTCTCCTCTTTACTCCTGATCAGCTGATGGATCTTCTCCTCCACATCTGCAAACATACAAACATATACTGTACTACTGCACATAGTACTGCTGAAGAGAATACAGCAGTACTACTGATGCCTCTGCTACGAGAAAAAAAATGAATTATGATCTTTTAAAATGGAAATTAGAGTAAACAGTACAAGTACTACTAGTACCTTGTATCTGTCTGAGTTTGTCCTCCATCTGTCTCTTCATCGTCTCTACCTCCTCCATCATCTTCTTCAGTCGTTCTCCAGCTTCACCTTGTACCTCCTGACTTGTTTTATTCTGCTTCAGAACCTCAAACAGCCTCATCACATCGTCCAGCTCCTGTTAGAGACAATCAATATAGGAGTCTGTGGTAACCATAGCAGTTAGTGAACTAACAGGTGGAACTACACTGACTACAAACAAAAAATACAAATGGTAGTACTTCCAGTGTTTTACCTTCTTTGTGTCTGTAGTCTGTCTCAGTGTCAGTAGTCTGTCTGACTGTCTGTAGTCTGTCTGTAGTCTATCTCTCCGTCAGTAGTCTGTCTCAGTGTAAATAGTCTGTCTCTCCGTCAGTAGTCTATCTCTCTGTCAGTAGTTTGTCTCAGTGTCAGTAGTCTTACCGTCTCAGTGTCAGTACTGTTGTTTAATGCAGACTCTGCTGTCTCTTGGGCTTCTCTCGCTGTCTCTTGGTTCTGTTCAGTTTTCTTCTTCAGGGCTTCAATCTTGTCCTGCAGATCTTCAGGTCGGTGGTTCATCAGCTTTGTCTCAATTTCATCCAGTTTGTCTTTAATCTGAAACAGGAAACATGTTTAAACACACTGAAACCATCAGGGTCAAACTCAACTGAATGAAATGTTCTGGATCCTTACGTCTTAAGTCTGTCTCAGTGTCAGGAGTCTGTCTCTCCATCAGTAGTCTGTCTCACTGTCAGGAGTCTGTCTCAGTGTCAGGAGTCTGTCTCTCCATCAGTAGTCTGTCTCAGTGTCAGGAGTCTGTCTCTGCGTCAGGAGTCTGTCTCAGTGTCAGGAGTCTGTCTCAGTGGCAATCGTCTGTCTCTCCATCAGTAGTCTGTCTCACTGTCAGGAGTCTGTCTCAGTGTCAGGAGTCTGTCTCTCCGTCAGTACTCTGTCTCAGTGTGAGGAGTCTGTCTGTCAGTTGTCTGTCTCAGTGTCAATCGTCTGTCTCTCCGTCAGTAGTCTGTTTCACTGTCTGTAGTCTGTCTCACTGTCAGTACTCTGTCTCAGTGTCAGGAGTCTGACACCATCAGGGTCAAACTCAACTGAGTGAAGTATTCTGGATCCTTACATCTTGGACTCTGTCTTTTGTCATGTCTCTGTCATTGCTGGCCGTTTCCAGATCATCGTTGGCTTTGTCCTGAGCTTTCTCTGCTTCATAAATGTCTTGCTTGATCTCTGTTACATCAATGTTTTTTGTGCGCTCCCTAAAAACAAGAAAGAATAACACATAAGGTTCGCCACGCTTAATAAATAATTATCCGCGGTTGGCACCAGACAACAAAGTAACCAGCAAATGGCAAGCCAGTAAGATCAGCCCTGGAGTCTGGATGAAGCTAGCTTACAGTATTTTGCTACGTTGTTATGAGGAAAAAGCCTCAGAATCTTACATGTGGATTCTTTAAAATCTTGTTCTTTAGAACTAACGGTTATTTTATGTTTTCAGACACTGACCTGAGATCCTGAGCTTTCTGCAACAGGTCCTGGGCATTCTTGGCATGCTCCTCCAGGTTCTTTAAGTTGTCTTGGAAATTGGTAGCATTGGACAGCAGATTATTGATGTCATTGATCATTGATCGGATCTGATCGGGTGATCGGGGAAGCTGGATGTCCAGAACAGTTCGGGCAATTTTCTCAATGTCCTCTGGAGGAACCATCTCATCTGTGAGGAAGAAAATATGATGAATAATTGTCTTTTTCATTTCAATTGAGTGTTTTTCATTCAGTATCAGTATAAAACTGTCTTGAGCTGCTGGAACTTTATGTTGTTAATTTTACTCAGTTTCAATTTTACTTAGTTCACTAATATGTTTGTGTCTGAAAACCAAACAAACTAACCCATCAGGTAGTCTTTGACTCGCTGGATGAGCTCTTTGGTTTTATTCTTCTCCCTCTCGAAGGAGTCTATGTTGTTGTTGATCCGATCCTGCAGCTCTTTGGCCTGGCCTTTGGTATCCTGAGCTGCCTGTTCGGCATCATTGATCTGACCAAGAATAAACACCAACAAAATTTATCTGACAGTGTGTCAGTGTTTCTGTTCCCACAGCATCAGTCCTATTTAAGTCCTATTTATCAGATGGTTCTCAGTTTGTACATGTTAACGAAGAATCCTTCATAAACACTAATATTAGTCATGGAGTTCCACAAGGTTTCCAAATGTTTCCCTTAGGCAATATTATTAGGAGTCACTCCATTAACTTTCACTGTTATTTAATTAAATTTTATTTGTATACCGTCAGTTCGTAACATAAGTCATCTCAGGACACTTTTTAAATAGGTCAGGTCTAGACCGTACTCCTTATAAACGTATTTACAGAGACTGTTATGCAGGTAATACCCAGTTATATCTATCAATCAAGCAAGATGAAATTAATCAGTCATCTAAACTACAAGCACGTCTTAAGGACATAAAAACCTGGATGAGCTTCAATTTTCTGATGTTTTGAACTTGCCCCCAAAATCCTCCGGGACTCACTGTCTAGATATAGTTGCTCTTGATAGTATTACCTTGGCCTCCAGCACCACTGTCAGGAATCTTGGAGTTATCTTTGATCAGGACATGTCCTTTAATTCCCACATAAAGCAGACCTCCAGGACTGCCTTTTTTCATTCACGTAATATTACAAAAATTAGACACATCCTGTCACAGAGCGATGCAAAAAAACTAATCCATGCATTTGTTCTAAACTGGATTACTGCAACTCCTTATTATCAGGCTGCCCCAATAAGTCCATTAAGACGCTCCAATTAATTCAGAACGCTGCAGCA